AACTGCTTCCTCTCCCAGACTTCCCACACTGGTGAGTTACTTTCCATTTGGCAATATTTTGGGTATAAAAAATATTTTCTTAGTCATGGTTATCCATAAATGATAAAGAGCAGGTTGTTCTGCTAAAGCATGTGGTTAAAACTTGCACCGTTTTTGAAAAAGTAGTTTTTAGTAAATGGGAACTCCTCAGGTTTCCTTTTTAATCATTATGTTACAATGTAGTAGTCAGTATTGAGTAACTACTCTGTGCAATTTGCACTTCTCCTTGTTTGGAACTGGCATTTATTTGAAGAAGGTGCAGGTTGAAGACTTAGTGCCTGCGTATTGTTCAAGGCTGGCGTTTACTACTGTAAAGTTTATTGCCATATTGTTACTGGTCATCAAGCCCCTTAAATCCAGCAGTGGCATGCAGATGGCAAGGGCACGAAAATGTTCTCTTTGGAAATACTGTCCATACTATAGGACTATTTTACTCTTCCAGAACCAGTTCCTAAAGTAACAAGCAAAAAAATCTTGCCAAGAAACTATGATTTGCCTTAAAATCCTGTTATGGAGTGCACAATTTGTTAAATGTGGTGAAACTGGTAGTGATAGAAAAGTCTCCTTTCCTCCCCAGCTTGCTTTGGAAGGTGAAGGTTGCACAGTCCCTTTTTACAGTTGGTTATCCTTGACGCGGAGGGATGGAGACCGTGAGACAAAGGGTTTAATTTACTGGTGTGAGAACACCTTATCAGTGTGGGTGTTGTAAAACACCTGCTTAAGGTAAAGCAGAATGATTATCTGGAGCTTGCTCTGGCCTATTATTTTATATGTACATAGTAGATGCATATGTACATAGTAACTGGAATTTAGAGAATGACTCTGTCGATCATGTGCGGCCAATATCCCGCTCCGTGGATTGCCCGTTTCCCTGTTGGGCTTCCCGTAAATTGGAACATTATCGCTTGCTCCAAGAACCTCCCCTGTTTGCTTTGCAGGAGCAAGTGGTCATGAATTTGGACAGCAGACTTCTCCTCTTCCCACTCTACATCTGCTGTAACTTCTTGTACACGTCGCCGGAGAAGAAAACGGAGAGCGAGGCGCCGCTGGAGAACGCGGAAACCTGAGACCTCCTCGGGGGATGTAGTAGCACCTCTCTACCTTCCTATGCCTGCTTTAAATTAAATGCCCTGCTGACACACACAGCTCTGATGAGAGAGAAAAAAATAAGGCCTTACACTGTAGCAAATACATATGGCTGTTCTCCAGCCTTGGTATACTCCTATGCATATCTGAAATGATATAGGCCAAAACTCGTTATCTTATATTTGTTCTTTTATTTTTTAATCTTTCTGTCTGTCTTGCATTTTCAGGCAGTAGCCATTCCATGTTTCCTTTGTATTTTTCTGGGTAAAATCCGAGCCAAATTGGAAAAGAGGAATTTGTGCGAATGGCATTACTGGCTTACGTTGTAAAATTCTGAGCACACATTGTAGTGTGTGTTTAGTGTTTTGGGCTCAGTTGGTTTAGGTTGTTCTGGTTTTAATAACTGATCTGTAAATACCAGAAGCATCTTTTGCTTATTTCTCTGGTCCTTTTTCATCAGGGCCAAATACATCTGTGTAAATATTGCTTGTCAACTTTTGTTAGTCATTTAAGTGTTTGTACAGATTTTCAGACTTGCTTGTTTTTTAAGCCTTTGTTACATCTCATATATATATTTCTTTATTGCTCTTAGGCCTTTTATTTTTAATGTTATGGGGAAAAAATCTTTTCTTTTTTTTTCCCTTAGCAAATGATTTTTCAGATGAGGATATTCAGAAGTGATTTTTTTCCAAGTACTGAGAATTCTCTAATGTACTAACTGTCATTTAAGTCCATTATACAGCAGCAGCTTTCACCAAGGATTCTACTGAATCCTTAATATACTCATGTAAACCAAATACCAGTTTTTAAACTTTTTTTTGGTGACTTCTTTTAAGTGTTATATTGGGAAATTATCCTGCTTTAGCTCAGGAATCTGTGACCTTTGAGTGCCTTTAGAGTTGTATGTGTTAACACACACTTCACATCAGTTAAGCGAGGTCACAGGATCCAAAAGGAGAGCTGGGAACAAGGGATTCATTTTTAGTTGGTTTAATGAACCAGTCAAGAGTAAGAGGTACATTGTAGTAGACTTTTTTGTATGTATTGGTTGATTTTTATGTTTGTCTACTGCTATTTTGAATTCTTACATGAGGATTTTTGGATTCCAAGTGGGAATTTTGCCTCTTTAGTAGCCTATTTTTTTAACGTTATCAGAAAAGTATAAAAACCCTTTGTACTTTATAACAAGGATTAAAAAAAGAAAGTGTTAGATAAGATGGAAAAAAGTGGCAACTTGCGAATAAATGATTTCAAGTGTAATAATTATGAGTGTCTATCGTTTTCTGCCTTAAATGGTGTTTTGTGCTGGATGCTGCCAGTGAATGCAGGTGGGACAGGAGCACGAAGCCCCCAAGCACATCACAACTCGCCCAGAAACCGTGTTGCTTTTTGCTCTGTTTTATTTGTCACTGACTAGGAGCAGCAATCGTGGCGAAGGGGAGCTGAGAAATACAATACCACACTCGAGAAAACAGTATGTAAAATACAAAAATAAGGAAGCCTATATATATAGATATATAATTGCAGTCAATTACTAAAAATAAATACTGTAAACACTGAATTACAGAACATCGGATGAAACTAGTCACTCATTTCTGCTAGCAGCGAACAGTCTTTGGCTTTATTGAACTCCCCCTGCCCCGCACGGAGCCGGTGGTGCCGTTAAGATGCAGTTTCTGTGTTTGGGGCCGGCGTCTCGCTGGCCTCATTCCCTTTACCCTGGTGAAATCCCTGGCAGGTTGGTCAAGGGCTTTTTGTCCCTCTACCTCACGCCCAGGAATTGCCTCTTTTTGCCCTCGGAAGCCAAACGAATGGAACGACCCCAGATCACAGCTCGGATGCTCCCCAATGCCCTCGGCTGCCGAAGATGTTCCAGTTTCCACATGGCCTTGGACTTCTGCAAGGACAGAGGCAAGTTCCTCGCAAGGGGCCTCCAATTTTGTTGCTCATACCAAAGACCCACAGTAACAACAAAACCCCGTCCAAAGCAGCGGCCGGGAGCAGCGTTTCGAGGGAGGAAGGGGCATCACAGGGGGAGAAAATGCATCGTAACAGCTCGACTCCGCAAGCCCAAAGCCGTCCTGCGCCCGCAGAGCAGCGCTCCTCGCCGGAGGAAGGAGGCGGGATGAGGGGCAGGAGCATCAGCCCGTCCCTCTCCCTCTCGCTACACCTCTAGGTTTGTTCTTCCCTTCATAGCAATAGTCATGATTGATTCTTCCCTTCTTTATTTCAACCGCGTGCGCGTGACATCCCGTGGCTCCTCCTGACCGCCGGACCCAAGGCAGGTAAAAGCATTTCTGTTTCAGCTCTGAAGCAGGCGAAATGCTGCTCTTCCCCAGAAAGCATCACGCATAACTGCTTGGTATCAGATTAGAGGATTTCTACATCATCTCTTCTTTTTTTTAAAAAAAAAACAATTATTTAACATCTACACCTTCCACTAAATTTCTTACATCGTTGCTACACACAGCCAGGCTTTGATTGTTAGAATTGCTCCGAGGCTTATTTAAAAAAAAAAAAATAAGCATTTGAAATGCCGAAAGAGGAATTTTCCTTTAAAATTGTGCTACTGAACTTGACCCCTCCCAACGCAGAGACTTTGGGGAAGGAAGTTTCCCCGAGCAGTATAAAAATAGACATCAGATAAATCAATAAAACCGCTATCCTCCGAAGGTCTGGTCGTGGGATTTTTTTTTTTCTATTTCTTCGTACATTGCTTAAATTTTGTTATTAGCCACTAAAGCTTGAGAGGAGCGTGTCCCCCCCAGCAGCAGCGAGGGGAGGGCACTGGAGGTGCCTGTGGGGACCGCAGGGACCCGGCGCGCCGGATGCGGCTCCTGCGACCCCAGCTCCGGCGCATCCCTTGGGGTTTCCCTTTTGTTGGGATGGAGAAAGCCAAACGCTTCCTCTGCCTGTCACCTCTCGAGAACTTGGGTCTATTTCTCCAGTCTACCCCAAGAAAAGAATTAAATTAAAAAAATAAAACTAACAAGAACAAAACAAAAAAAAGGAGTACTCCATACCGCTCTCAAACGCTGTTCCAAGTCAAAACGAAGCCCTAAGACCCCCCTTCCGGAGACTATATACATAAAAAGAAGACACACGAGCTCCTGAAACACGAAATACGCAGCGTGTAAATGCAGACGTCACCTACGGGGCTCACAGCACAGGGCTCCGCCGAGGACGGGGGTGCGAGGTCGGGAAATGGGAGCAGACCCTGAGTCCCCAATTATTTCCAGGCACGTTCCGCCCCGGAGCCCCGTGCGGGCGCCCGGCTGCGTCCCGGCTCTCGCTCCGGACAGAGATACGCGGTATCTCTCGCTCCTGCCGCCGCGCCCGGCGCTTGTACGAGTTACCATGACTTTCATGGAAATAATACAGCCTTGATCAGGGTCAAAGACGAGCGGAGGTCTTTAGCCCCATCTCAAAGAGGTTTGACTTCTAGAGCACGGACACACCACCGCGACGACGCTAACACACATAAATAGGTACTGGTTTTCTGTAAAGTGACGTTGCAGTATCTTAATAATTCTAGCGTTATCCTTGCTGCCGTCGGGGACCACGTGGGGAGGTTACGGGGTGGAGAGCTGGTGCGTTGGGTGGGCTGTGAGCGGAACGGGTCCCGCTCCGGGGGGAGATGCAGGGACGCAGGCGGGAGACGCGTGGAGCGTTCCCGGAGCCCCGCTTTTATGGCAGGCGGGCAAACTCCGAAGGGAACCCAGCATCTCGGGCCCCGCGTCGCGGGAGAACCGGGAAAGCCAAGAGGCTGCTTGCAGGGGGTGAGGGTGCGTGTGTGTACTGAGAAGGGGGAACTGGGCACGGGAAGGGGAAACGTCCTCTGCTCTGCCGAGACCAAGCCCTTGGGCCAACCTCCTTGCTTCTACCGCTGGCCGGCCTCGCGGATGCGGCAGGCGACGGCCGTGATGAGCGCTGCGCCCTTGCCGCTGCCGTCCTCCGACTGCAGGAAGGTCACTTCGCACTTGGGGGACAGCTGCTTCACTGTTTCGTGCATGACCGTGGAGAAGCTGCGGAGGGAGAGCGAGAAGAGGAGCTGATCGGAGCTGGCAGCGCTCGCAGCTGCCAGCCCCACAGCAATGAGCCCCTCGGCCCTTGCGGTCGCTGTCAACGGGCTCCAGCGCGCCCGGCTTGGTTGCTCTCTTGGACTCTGGTTCTATGCCCAGATACCTCCAAATCTGCCACCTGCTCTGGACCCCCAGGTGGAGCTTGTCAGGGCCCTAATTAAAGCATCAATTAAGGCACTAATAAGCATTAATTAAAGCCCATGGATCCAGCAGCCCTATTTAAGCTCAGTCCTAGGCCCTCAGTCCCTGCCTGCATGTTGCCCTACAAGCAGTGGTCTCTAGCACGCTTGTGCCTGGTGATGGAACCTGTTGAGCCAGACCTTGACCTACAGGGTAACTTTCCACCTTGGCTCTTCAGACCTACCGTATCACCATGGACCTGCCTGGCAGGCCCCAGACCTGCCCCTGGCCTGCGGCTTGACTTAGCTGGGGCTTGGACCAGCCTCATCACTCGCCTGATGATCTGGGCTCTTGGTTGAACCCGATTTCCAGCTCTGTCCTGCTTGTCTCGCTCCGGGATGGTGGGACAGGACCTGCTGGTTGTGTTACCTCCTCGGCTCCGGCCTCCCGTCCCTCAGGGAGCAGCCCGTCCTCATGGCACCTGGCACAGCTCAGCTTGGGGAGCTTGTGGCACTGACACCCCTTGGTACCTTCAATGCCCTCCTGTCCTCTCCGACTGCACCAACCCGCCCCTGGGCTCCTCAGGGGACACCCTCGGCCACCTGCACGCAGGAACGGGACTCACTGGGGGTGCAGCTTGTAGAGCGTGCCGTCCACGCCGACCGTGACCTTGAGGAAGTCCAGGCCGCGGTTCTCCCGGATCTTGTCCACCACGGCGGCCATGCCGGCGCCGCAGAGCTGGGCTGCCCGCCGGGCCACCACGGTGCACACCTCCTTCACGATGATGCTGTCGTCGCACGTGCTCTCCAGGCCCAGGTGCTGCAGGATGGAGCGCACTTGGAGCAGGGCCAGGCGGTCGCTGCGGGGGACACAAGGCGGATGCAGCATGAGCAGACAGGGCAGCTCAGCCCATGGCTTGGATGGCACCAAGACTCTGCTGTCTTCCTCTGCACCATCTTGCAACATCTTTGGCTCCAGAAGGAGCCGAGCACTTGAGACTGTTCCCCCAGGCCTGGAGATACGTTCCCCAAGCTCTTGCTCTGCTTTGGTCTGCAGCAACAAGGCCAGAAACCAGTGCTCGACCAGCCTGCTTGAGCTCACCTTTCTATCTGGGACAGGAACTTGGTCTCAAAGATGCCCCTGGTCTTCAGCCTCTCTGAGATGCGTCCCCGGAAGAGCAGCCCTCGCTTGGTAAAATCCATCAGGATGTTTCGGACAATCTCCCCCAGGTACATTCCGCTGATCATCTTCTCAAATCTGGAGAGAGGAGAGCAGGGCTGAACATCAGCGCAGAGGAGGACAGAGCAGCAAGCGAGACCCAGGAGAGATGTGCTAATTCCCAAAAGCTGGACACCGTGGAGAAAACACAGTGAGCAGGAAAGGAGCGGGGCCGAGAGCAAGGATGGGAACCTCACAGCAGGGCCAGACCACCCTGCTGACACCCACGGTCCACCAAGAGGTTGATGGGGAGCTCAGAGCTGCTCCCAGACACCCAAGACCCTTCGCATCTTGCCCCAGCCACCCAGGAGGGTGATGGGTCTCCTGCCCCACAAAGCCACCACGCACCGTTGCTTCCCAGGGTTGAGGGACAGCTCGTCCACCGCCAGGTCGAACTCCGTCCGCACATCGTCCAAGCAGCCGTTGTCGCCGAACGCCCCCCACTCCATGTTCACGCACATCCTGCCCTCCTCCCCTTCCACCAGCTCCACGTTCCTCATCTCCTCCATGTAGCAGGCGTTGCTGCCCGTGCCTGCCAAGGGAAAACCGTCCCTCAGCAGCGGGCATGGAAGAGATGCCCGCATGGGCAGCTGAGTGCCCATGGACAGGATGGGTGAGGACCCTCTGTAAGCTTCAGTTCTTACCAACTATGAGGCCAACTTCACAATAGGGATCTTCGTACCCGCAGGTCATCATGGTGCCGACGGTGTCGTTTACCAGGGCGACCACATCCAGGTCGAATTCCTGAGGAGGGAAGGGGTTCCAGGGGTTGTCCCTCGTGGAAGACAGCCCAGCAGAGCTGTCCTCTCCAGAGTGGGGAAAGGAGCTGGGTGCTGGAGACCTCGAGGCGCTTGCAGGCTACCACAGCCCCGTGCAACTTCAGGTGGCCACACTGCAGACACCTCCAGCGAGGCAGGAAGGGACATGGTGGGACAGCCCCACTGAGGCAGCCCTCGCAGTGGGAGATTTGTAGGGGCTGCAGCGAGGAAGAGGGCAGCAGTGCCTCCCAAACTCGTAGGAGAGACAAAAGTCTGGCCAGATACAAGCTCCTAGCTCCAGGGTCTGAAAATCCAACCTGCAGCGATGACTAAGCGCGGCTGTTTAAATCCAGGTGCTCATTAACCCTGCGCTCAGCCCATTAATTTGCTGCTGCAGCCCAATTAGAGATCCCAAAGAGAGCTGGGATGCAGGAGCAGGCAGCCGCTCTCGCGGACGCTCACCTCCCTCCTGTGAATCGCCTCCTTGAGCAGCCCCACCACATCCTCTCCTTCACAGCCGGTCGCCTTGAAGCCCTTGGTCCACTTGAGAAGAATCCCCTGTGATGGGAGGAAAAAACTCGGGAAGTCATCGGGCAGCTGGGCAGGAGGAACAGCCCCTGCATCTCCACCAGCTTTTGGTGGGCACTGCCAGCCACACGGAGGTCAGATCCTCACGCATGCAGGTGCCTTCGCCCTCTGTTTGATCCCAGTCTGATCTGCTCCATGGTCATTATTTGGGAACCTGGACTTTTTTGGATGCTCAGCGCTGGGGGCTGGATGTGCATGATCCAAATGAGGTGGGTTGCACTTACCTCATCCAGGTTGGTCTGCTGGCAAGGGAAGGAGAAGGTGAATCCAAGGGGGAGCGATACACCCTTCATTCCCATGTACTCCAGGAAGTCGGAGATGCAGTGGACGATGTGGTCAAAGAGCTGGGCACAGAGGAGGTGGTTACAGTCACAGCGGGAGCTCAGCTTGGTTTTAGCCGGCTCGCTGTCCTGGGAACAGCGATCCATTCCCAAGCCACCAGGGCTCTGACCGGACGAGGATGCCACCCAGCTGCCCCATATGAGGTGAGCAAAACCAGAATAACTCCCTTTTGCCTCTCCCCCACCAACAACGTGGAGATATCACTGCGATAGCTTCATCTTGCAGGCCCCACGCTGCTCCAGGAGCGATGGAGGGGCTGGTGACACCTTCACATGGGTGATCCTTCCCAAGGCAGCCCCGGAGCCCATCCGCCCCGGCTCCTCTAGAATCCCTCCTGTTCCCCAGGCCCTGTTTGAAGTGGTTTGTGAAACTCTCTCAGTCTGCAAATGTGGCTCTGGAGATATCTCTGGGTGCCTGTGTTGTGGTTTCCCTATCTGGAAAATGGGGCTGATGTTTATCTGCCCTTGTGGAGAGCGTGGGATACAGGGAGGTTCAGCAATGCCTGGGAATAAGAGTTTCTAACCTAAAACCAGTTTTGCACTTACTAAAGCACATTTCAAACAGCAGTGCCATGTACAGAACATCTCTGAGGGCTTTGCAACAGCGTCCTCCACACTCTTCATTTTGTACCATGGAGACCAGGCAAAACCTGTCCAAGGGCCAACACTGGCCCTCTGGGTGGGCTACACTGCTTGTCACTTCTGCAGCCCCCATAGGAAGGATGCTTTTCCCTTCCAATCTCCAGCTGCTCATCCTTACCTCCTCTCCGGTCCCCTGCATGATCTCCAGCGGGATGGAGTAGATCTTGTTGTGCATCTCCACACCGCGCCGCATCCCGTTGCGCACACGGACCAGCAGCACACGGAAATTTGTCCCTCCCAGGTCCAGGGCCAGGAAATCTCCTTTTTCTGAAAGCCAAGGGAGAGTCATCAAGAGGGAGATCCCAACATGGAGCCTGGTGAGTGTGGCCCAAAGGCTAATGCGGATCTGCTTCCTTCCTGGGAGAACCTGAAACTCGAGAAGTGGCAGAGAACAGGGAACGGAAGGCAGAAAGGCAATGCAGATGTTGGCTCCAGCCTCGGGGAGACACCAGGGCATTAAGTCATGGAGAAGTAGACACCTGAGCCAAGGCATGGAACTGGGAGCAGAGCTCAAGGCAAGAGTGAGAGTGAGAAACCTACAGCTGTAAAAGCAAAGCTTGGTGTTAAGTTTAGTGCATGGAGTGTCCTGGAGTCCCAGCATTGCACCAAGAGGACAAAACCCTTGTGTTGCTCACACCATGAGGAGGGAACTGACCACAACAACAGGCCCAAAAAGCAGAGCCGCTGGGAGCTCACACGCTGGCTCTGTGCCCTATGCAGCAGCCGTGAGGTACATCACCTGTGCCGTCCGGGGTTGAGCACACGTAGGTGGGCAGCATCTTCACCGTGGCCTCCGTGTGCGTCCCGTTGCCCAGCCCCTTCTCCATCTCCAGCCTCATCCTTTGCTTCACCTCCAGGAGCTGCTCGTGGCTTAGCTTGAGGGCTTCCAGAGTCTTCTGCCGTGCCTTGTGCTGGGCGGCCAGCCGGTAGGCCACGGCCGTCACCATGGCCGCCCCTTTGCCGCTCCCGTCTTCCGAGCGCACGAAGCGGATGTCGCAGTCAGGCAGCAGCTTCCGCACTGTCTTGTGGAGGCGCCGGGCAAAGCTAGGTGGGAGCAGGAGGAGAAAAGGGCTTGAACACTTGGGCATGTGGTCTTGGGCAGCACAAAGCCCTTGGGGATCCCAACGGAGAGGTCCTGGGGACGCTCAGAGACGCTCTCCTCATGCCAAGCTTGGATTTATTGCTGGCAGGAGATTTGGTTCTGAGATTTTCTCTCTCACCAGACCCCCTCTCGCTCCCCACCGGCCTTGCCCGAGCTCCCGGACTTACTGAGGATGCTTCTTGTAGACGGAGCCATCCACGGCGACGGTGGAGCGCAGCCGCTCCACCCCCTTGTTCTCCTTGATGCGCCGCAGCACGGCTGCCAAGGTGGCCCCGCACAGGTTGGCCGAGCGGGTGGACACGATCTGGCAGATGCGGTGGGTGGCCACGCAGTCTTCATGAGACGGCTCCAAGCCCAGCTTGGTGAGGATCTCATGGGCTTTGAAGAGCCCTTCTTTCTCCCTACACAGATCAAGGAACAAAAGGGATTTGTGCCTGGCAATGTCGCTTCCGTGATATGAAGTGTTTCTCTTTCGCCCAAGGAACAGCTCTGCGATGGGTCCTGTTCCAGCAGCACAAATATCCAGAGTGGGACTGGCACCCCAAAAAAGCACCTAGATCCTACTCACTTCTCAATAGCAGAGACGTATCTGGTCTCAAAGTGGCCAGTAGTGAGCAGATCCGGCGTGAGCCTCCCACCAAACAAGAGCCCTTCCTTAGCCATCTTCACCAGGATGAGTCTGACCAGCTCGCCCATGTACATACCGCTGATCATCTTCTCAAACCTGCCGAGGGAAGCACAAGATGCATTTGCTTCACTGTGGATGCACCATGAACTGGCCACCAATGGCATGAGCAGTTTTCTAGCACATAAGTGTGCAAAAATTAGCCGATGCCCCCAAAAGAGGGCAGATGCTTGCACCATCCACAGGACTTGTTCAAATCAACAACATGCCTGTACCTCTGCAAGAACAGAGGTGGCCAGGACTACCTTAAAAACCCTTGTATCTAGTGACAGAGTGGCCTTCCAGGCACAGATGCAACCTAGGTGCTCTCTTTCCAAAGCAGTTTGTTCTGTCCCATCTCCAGGAAAGCAAAGCCATGATGACAGGCGCCCTTCTGCAAGGGGTGTCTTTCAGATTAGAGATGTGCCCCATATCCCACCCACGCTGCCAGAAGCGAGCAGACAGGATGCCTGCTATGAAACCAGGAGGTCTGTAGGACTCGGATGCGAACATTAGGTGGTGGTGTTTGCTTCTGCTTGCAGATTATTCCATGGGAAGGGGCGAGAAATGGAAATGGCCATGTTATCCAAGCAAAGGGCTCCCAGGGGAGCGGGCGTCGGGATGTTCACTTGGATGCACCAACCCCAACTGGTGATGCGGCCCCTCTTTGCGCCAGTGCAGCCAGCACCCTGAGGACACTGTGACCCAGTTAACTAGGATGACCCCTTCGGTCCTGCTAGCGCCAGCACAATGGGAGGACAGAAAACGCAGAGCAAACCCCAAGTCCGAGCTGAGGCCAGGAATGTGCTTACAGCTGCTTGCCAGGGTTGAGCGAGCCCATGTCTATCTCACGGTCGAACTCGGTCCTGATGTCGTTGAGCACGCCGTCGTCGCCGAAGGCCCCCCACTCCATGTTGATGCACATGCGGCCTTCGTCCCCTTCCACCAGGTCGATGTGTCTCATCTCCTCCATGTAGCAGGCATTAGTCCCGGTACCTGCACCAAGAACAGAGGCTCCATCACTTAGGTGAGACAAGAAAGCATCCTGCGCTTCCCTTTTTTCCTTTTTACGTAATTAGCAATAGGCAAATGCAAGATATAAAACCTTTTGGCAGATCATTTGAGCATCTATCTCTTACCACAACATTTTGTAATGTGTTTGAGCTGACAATATGTGTTTCCTCTACGGCCCTTCAGAGAGGAAATTCTTAAAACTAGGGAACTGCTATCATCTAAAGCAAAACCATGTGTTGCAACTCACTGCTGTGAATCAAGTATTTCACTAAGTAAATGCATAGTCCCAGGCCTGAGTTTCTGCCTGGCTCCAGTTGAAGGAAGTGCATCTCGGGCAATGCAATTGAAAGCTACAACCGTCTTTCTCCTCCAAAGACCCTAAAATCTGCAGGAAACCTGTGCACAAACAGCACTGCCAGCCAAGGTGGACCCGGATTTGCCCTCGCCTGGCCCTGCTGCAGCTCACCCACGATGAGGCCGACTTCGCAGTTATGATCATCATAACCACAGGTCATCATGGTCCCAACCGTGTCGTTCACCACAGCGACGATGTCTATGTCAAAGTCCTGGAACGGCAGAGAGGAGACCGAACGAGTGAGTACAGTCAGAACCACCCGAACCATGTCCGCTCCAACAGCGCATCCCGAGGGTCCCCATCCTCTCGCCTCGGCAGGTGAAGACCTGCAGAAGTCCTTACCCCTCGCTTCTTGATGGCCTTGCGCAGCATGGAGACTACGTCCTTCCCCTCCACCCCGCTGCACTTGAAGCCCTTCGTCCACGTCGCGAGGATGCTCTATGGGAGGAATGGCAAGAACTGACCCTCAGGGTGGACCACCAAGCCAGCATGTCCAGCGCTTGCCCTCCCAGCTCCACCGGCCAGGTCTACTCTTCCACTCCAAGCATGGACTGGCTGCACAGAAGCTGCTGTAGCAGCAAGGATTTCTGTGCGTGAGTATGGCCAAGCCTTCAAACCCAACGTGTCCACAAGAGTGGATCAAGGATCCACTCTTTCAGTGGTGGCCACCGACAGAACTAGAGGAAACAGCCAGAAACTGAAAGCATCAAAAGTTCCACAGGAATTTCTTAACAGTGAGGGTGACAAAGGACTGGAGCAGGTTGCCAAGAGAGGTTGTGGGGTCTCCTTCTCTGGAGATCTTCAAACCCGCTTGGACGCAGCCCTGTGCCACGTGCTCTAGGTGACCCTGCGTGTGCAGGGGTTGGACTGGATGATCTCTAGACGTCCCTTCCAACCTTAAGCATTCTGTGAAGGATCTGCCCCAGGTTGCAGATGAGGGACCTGAAGTATGGAGACCACTGGGTTGGACAAGGTCCCCTGGGGGCAAGTGCTACCTCCCCGTCTTTCTATCAGCCCTCGGCACTGTGCTGAAGAACGTGGCCATCTCCTTCATCTTGGTCGCACGTGACAGCCCCACGGGTCCCGCAGAGCCGCGGCGAGGACGTGCCGGCTCCCCGGCGCGCCATGGAGCCCGGCAAGGTGACGCGAGGGCGAGCGAGGCTGCGCGAGGCTGC